TAGTGATACTGCCTCAGAAACCCAAGGAGGGGTCACTATGAGTCGGGTCCGACTTGATGGCACATAACAACAACAACAACAACAACATGAGTAAAGAGAGGCCAACGAAACTTCATGTTGTTGTTGTTGTTATGTGACGTCAAGTTGAACCCAACTCATAGCGACCCCTCCTTGGGTTGCCGAGGCAGTATCACTACAGAAGTAGATTGCCCAACCTTCCGAGGAGTGGCTGGTGGGTTTGAACCTCCAGCCTTCTGGTTAGCAGTCAAGTGCCTTAGGCACTACGCCACCAGAGCTCCATAACAAAACTTCATAGGATTATTAAATTCTATTTCCTCATTCCTTCTTGAAGGAAAGTGGCAAAGTTAAAACTATTTCTGCCTAGTTATTTTTAATGTTGATGGACTCTACTTTATGGAACAAAAACAAATCTCATTCCACCAGTGGAGAAGCTGCCCAAGAGGGAGTAACTGAAGAATGTCCTCTCGATGGCCAGAGACACTGTTACACAAGCTGCTGGCCAAATCTGCCCTACTCCCTGCCCCTTCATCTCTGCACAGAGTCCATGCCAGCATCTTGTGCCAGGCTTGCCTTTGTCACTTTGAGCTCTCACCTAAAGGAGTAAGAAGCAATGATATTTTCATAATAGGTTCAAAAATGCACAAAAGATTATCATGCTCATAGAAAATAGCCATTTGTTTCCTCCTGTAATGACAGAACAGGAACTCTGGTGGTGCACTGGTTAAGTGCTCAATTTCTAACTGAATGGACTGCAATTCAAACCCACAAGAAGTTCATTGGGAGAAAGATGAGGCAGTCTGTTTCCATAAAGTTATAGCCTTGGAAATCCTACAGGGCAGTTCTACTCTGTTCTATAGGGTCATATGAGTCAGAACTGGCTCAACAGAAACAGGTTTGTAATGACAGAATCAGCCTGAAAGGAAATAAAGCCCTCAAGTCGTTCTTTGTTTTCCTGTGAATTCCTGAAGTAATTGGGAAACATCTTTCCCACAATTAAATCAAGTTGAAAATTCAAATACTTAAATAAAGTCATGCCACAGAATCTGATAACTAGCATTTATCCAAGCCAGCACAAACCTTTCATAGTAAATTGAGGACCAAAAATTAAAGACAAAAATTCACAATGCTAGTAAAAGAAAAGTCTGAAATACTAACTGATGTTTCACTCTAATTTAATGATTTAATATATCTCAATATTTTCAATATTTGTAAAAGATATGGAAATTTTGACTGCAAACGACTCATTTTAAAAATTCTATACTTTGCATTAAATTTACATTTTCTAATATTCCAAAAGGAGCTCTGGTAGCATAGTGCCTAAGGCACTTGACTGCTAACCAGAAGGCTAGCAGTTCAAACTCACCAGCCACTCCTTGGGAGGAAGGTTGGGCAATCCTACTTCTGTAATGATACTACCTTAGAAACCCAAGGAGGGGTCGCTATGAGTCGGGGCCGACTGGACGGCAAACAACAACAACAACAACAATAATCCAAAACAGAAACATAGTTTTCTGCCTAACACTGAAAATATACAAGTTATTTTCATATTATGCATCTATAAACTGTACTTTGATATTCCCAAAATTATTTAGATCGAAGGAACTGTTTGTTGCTGTTATGTGCTAGTTAACCTTAAAAAATTCTCTAAAAATCTTAGGGATTCCTGTAAAAGTTGCCCTCTAGTGGTTTCCTACTAATACAACACCCAGAGCCATTTACCTGAGAATTGGCAGCTTTCACAGGGACAGGAAGGACAGCTGACTTTGCTTCTTGGAGAATTTTTGGCATTCCATACACCCGCCCAACACCAAGCATCACAGTCACCAGTTGTAATATGAAATTAGAGCCCAGTAACAGGAAGACCTATTAAAAAATAGCATCAATGATTTTTAAAATAGTAAATAATTTTCAGGGAAACATACTGACATTAGACATGAGCCATCAGTACACTCTTGTGGCTCCTTTAGTATCAAACGGTTTCATCAATATTTGCCTTTCTCCCTTGTTATAAGACAAGTCACCCAAGCCTGTGGGGTGGGGAATGGCAGTTGTGAAAGAAAAAAAAAATAATAATACAAATTTTTAAATTTCCTATTTCTGCTCAAATAGCAGCAAGAATGGTGGGAATCTTAAAAATAGCCTTAGTCATGAAACAATCTGGCAAGGGAATAGAAGGAACATATGGAAAAATTATGTCAACTCTTAAAACCCAGCAACATTTCTTTTCTTCCTCTTCATTAAGTAATAAAAATAAATCTAATGATATTTATTCAAAATGGTTAATGAATTAGGTGGTCTGAACACTTGGATATTTGGGATACATAAAAATTACTAATAAATACTATGTATCAGATTACCAATTTTCAATGTTTCAGAACCTAATAAAATAGGAGGAATCCTGAACTTACAAATCAGTTTTATTCTAAAAATTCTTTTTGAATTTTAGAATATATTTTCCCTTGGAAACACTGTTACTCATGATGGTTAAGCACCCAAGTGATCTCATAAGCTAGAATATTACTAAAAACTCTGTACATCTTCTTCGGATACAGAAGAAACCATTTCTGTGGAATCCCTTCTGTTTTTATAGTATAATATATTTAAGCACACACTGTTATTATTGTTGTTATTGTTGTTAGATGCAGTGTGTGTGTGTGTAAGCATACATATTTTACACATTTGCAAATGATGCTGTGTTCTTCATATAGTCTGGCTTTTTGAATTACTTGTTCAGCATACAGATTGAATAAGTATGATGAAAAAGGATACAACCCTGATGCACTCCCTTCCCGATTTTAAACCATGCAAGTGTCCCCTTGTTCTGTTCGAACAACAGCTTCCTGGTCTATGTACAGGTTCCCCATGAACACAGTTAAGTGCTTTGGAATTCTCATTCTTCACAATGTTATCCATAATCTGTGATGATCCACACAGTTTAATGTTTTTGCATAGTCAATAAAACACAAGTAAACATCTTTCTGGTATTCTTTGCTTTCAGCCAAGATCCATCTGACATCAGCAATGATATCTCTCATTCCACCTGGAATGAGAGAAGTAGTATAGTACCATTCTAAATCTAAAAACAGTCATTAAGAACATAGGCTTCAGACCCTGTCCACTAGGTATGAATCCCAGTTCTGCTACCTGCTAATTTTATGACTTTAGACTGGTTATGTTACTCTCTGAGCCTTCATTTCCATATATAAGGATTGGGGATTTTAATAATTACCTACATGATGAAGTTGTTATAAGAATTACATGGGGGGAAATATGTATATGTATATGTATATGTATATGTATATATACGTGTGTGTATGTGTGTGTGTGTATAGATGGAGATAGAGACTGCCTTAGTTTGTTAGTGCTGCTATAACAAATACCACAAGTGGCTGGCTTTAACATACAGAAATTTATTTTCTAACAGTTTAGAAGGCTAGCCATATGAATTAAGGACATCGGCTCTAAGGGAAGGCTCTTTCTCTTTTGGCTCCAGGAAAATCTTTGTCTCTTTCAGCTGGTTTTCAGCTCACTGTCTATCATAATGTGGCATCGATCTTCCTCATTGGTCCTTGCTTCCTTCTGTGCCTAATCCACTCCTTTCATATCTCAAAAGTGATTGATTTAAAACATACCCTATGCTGACATGACCTAATTAACCTAAAAAAGAAAACTCTATTCCCAAATGGAATTACATCCACAGGTATAAGGGGAGGATACCAAAAAACATTTTGGGGGACATAATTTAATGCAAAAAAGATGCAAATAGATATCAATCCATTAAAAAATTATACCAGTTCCTAAAATTTTGTAACCACTAAAGAAGTGTTTGCTACCATCTAGACCTACGTTGGTCTGTCAGTTTATTGTACTGTGGGGGGTTGTGTGCTGCTGTGAGGCTGGGAGCTATGCCACTAGTATTTCAACACTAGTAGGGTAACTCATGGTGGCCGGGTTTCAGCTGCACTTCCAGACTAAGACAGATTAGGTAATCTACTTCCAAAAAAACTTATGGAAAGCAACATAACATTGTCTGAGATAATGCCACAAGATGAGCCCCTCGGGTTGGAAGTCACTCAAAGTACAACTGGGAAAGAGCTGCATCCTCAAAGTAGAATCAACCTTAATAATATAGATGGAGTAAAGCTTTCAGGACCTTCATTTGTTGATGTGGCACAACTCAAAATGAGAAGAAACAGCTGAAAATATGCATTAGTAATCAGAACATGGAATGTACATAGAAATCTAGGAATCTAGGAAAATGGGAAGCTGTCACAGATAAAATGGAATGCATAAAAATCAATACCTTAGGTATTAGTGAGCTGCAATTGACTTATGTTGGCCACTCTGAATCAGATAATCATATGGTCTATACTGGAAATGACAAATTGAAAAAGGAATGCTGTAGTACCAGTTGTAAAAGGAAAAAAGAAAATTCAAGATCTATACTGAAGTACAACATCAGTGATAAGATAAAATCCATAGGCTTACAAGAATGACCAGATAATATGACTATATTCATATTTACCCATCTACCACTAATGCCAAAGATGAAGAAATTGAAGATTTTTACCAACTTCTCCAGTCTGAAATTGAGTAAACATGCAATCAAGATGCTCTAAAAATTACTGGTAATTGGAATGTGAAAGTTGGAAACAAAAGGAAGGATCAGTAATTGGGAAATATAGTTGTGGAGATACACACAGGAGTTTGCATGATAGAATTCTGCAAGACCAACAACTTATTCATTGGAATTTTCAATAATGTAAATAGTAACTCTATACATGAACATAAATGGATGTAATACACAGTCATCAAATCAACTCCATCTGTGGAAAGAGATGAAGAAGAAGTTCAAAATCATCAGTCAGAACAAGGCCAGGGGCTGACTACAGAACAGATCATGAACTTCTCATACATAAGTTCAAGTTGAAGAAAATTAAAGCAACTCCACAGGAGCCAAAGTAAAACCTTGACTCTATCCCACTTGAATTTAGAGGCTATCTGAAGAACAGATTTGAACACAAATGACCAAATGACCAAAGATGAGACATGCTGTCAAGGACATCATACACGAATAAAGAAAAAAGTCATTTAAAAGACAGAAAAGAAAAAAAGAACAAAATGTATGTATATCAGAAGAGACTATGAAACTTCTTGATCGTAGAGTACCTAAAGCAAACAGAAGAATGCTGATGTGAAAGAGTTGAAATAAAGATTTCAAAGGATAGTCAGGCAGCTAATAAACATATGAAGAAATGCTCACAATCGTTTGCCATTAGAGAGATGCAAATCAATACAACAAGATACCATCTTGTTCCAGCACTAGTAGCAAAGTTCAACAAGACAGAAAATAACAAATGCTGGCAAGGATGCAGAGAAATTGGGACTCTCATACACTCCTGGTGGGACTGTCAAATGGTACAACCACTGTGGAAAGCAGTATGAAGATTCCTTAAAAAGTTAGAATTAGAAATACCATTTGACCCAGCCATTCCATTACTAGGTAGATATCCTAAAGAAGTGAGAGCCAGGACAGGAACAGACATATGCACACCCATGTTCATCACAGCACTACTTACAATAGCAGAAAAGATAGAAATAACCTAGATGTCTATCAACTGAAGAATGGATAACCCAACTATGGTACATATACACAATGGAATACTATGCAAC